TGCCAGTCCAGCTGCTGCCAACCTAGCTGCTGCCAGTCCAGCTGCTGTGTCCCCAGCTGCTGTGCCCCAGCCTCCTGCCTGACCCTCATCTGCACCCCAGTGAGCTGTGGGTCCAACCCCTGCTGCCAATCTGCCTGCAGCAGCTGCTGCACACCCTCATGCTGCCAGCAGTCTAGTTGTCAGCCCTCATGCTGCACCTCCTCACCTTGTTGTGTGACCCTTTGCTGCAAGCCTGTCTGCTGCACACCCATCTGCTCTGGATCCTCCTGCTGCCAGCAGTCTAGCTGCCAGCCCTCATGCTGTCAATCCTCCTGCTGTGTGCCTGTCTGCTGCAAGCCCTGCTCCAGCGTGTCCCTGCTCTGCCGCCCTGTGTGCAGACCCACCTGCTGTGTGCCCAGCTCCTCCTGCTGTGCCTCCTCCTGCCAGCCCAGCTGCTGCAAGCCCTGCTCCAGCGTGTCCCTGCTCTGCCGCCCTGCCTGTTCCCACCAGGCCTGCTGTGGCCTCTCCTCAGGCCAGAAGTCCAGCTGCTGAGAGCCAGAACCCACTGTGAGCAGCAGGAGCTACCTCCCCACCAGCCTGCAGTTGGCACTCAATGCAGGCACAGCTCAGAAGAAAGATTTATACCATCTGAAGAGAAACCAGGGTATAACTCAACCACTTAGAAGGATTATTGTGTTCCTCCTCCAGCAGGTCCCAGGAGTGCTGGTTGCTCCCTTTCCATCCCTGCCTATGTGGATGACCTTGCTTCTGTGGTCAGTTGTACCATTGTAGACCCATGCACTTCAATAAAGCTTCCTCTGACCCACTTAACTTCTGTTGTGACTGTCACCCTGGGGCCTCGTTCTGGAGCCTGAACCCCTTCAAATCTCCCCTGTACCTCCAGCTGAGGGGATTGGAGTCATTACAGAGACCCACAGCTCCCTTATTCCACGCTCTGGTACTAGGGTCAGGGTTCCTCCTGTTCTGGGTCTAGACCTGCGCGATCCATCTCTGGGGCCCATGGAGTGACTCTGAGACACCCACTGAAAGGGCTTCATGGCAAGGGAAGTCATGCTATGGAGGGCAATGGAGAGTGGGTCTTTGTCCTGGGAGAAACTCAGCACTGTGGCTTTACAAGAATTCCGGGACTGAGGGCAGCCGCCACTCTGTGGAACTCACACCTTGTCTAGGTGCCAGCACAGTCCCTATCACCTAGAAGGCAGAGGTAGGGCCTCAAGGTTCCTTGGTCATGTCACAGGCCGACCACAGCCCCATGCAAGGTGCACAGCTGAGGAACATGGTATCAACTGTAGGAGCTCAGCTGAAGGGGGTTCGTCAGCTCCAGCCAGCCCACAGCTCAGGGGCCAAGGATCCCAGGCAGATTTGACCAAACAGAACAAAGTACATCAGAGCTTGAAGACGGGTCTTTCAAAATATCACATTCAGACAGAAATAAAGGGGGGAAACGGAGGAGCATGGGAGATCTTTGGACACCATCAATCATTAGCATCACCTTCACTGGCATACCTGAAGGGGAAGAGAGAAAAGTTCAGAGCACAAAACAAATAAACAAACAAAAAAACCCACAAATATGTCATCTGGAAAATTCCTTAGGAAAGATACACCCAGGGAAGGGGAAAAGGCCCATTAGATGGACATGACAGGGAAAAATCCTTGCTACTGCATATTATATATGGTTGACAAAAGGAAGGACAAAAAGCTCTTAGAATCTGCAAGAGAGAAGCACCAAGTCTCATTTGTCAGTAACGCCCTTCCCTCCCCAAGATCAACTGCAGACTCTTGAGCAAAATTTAGCAGCCCAGAGAGTGTGGAATGCCGTGTTGAAGTCCTGGAAGGAAATAACTGCCAACCAAGATTACTAGCCCAGAACAGAAGAAGCAGCAAAGACCTTCCCCAATAAACAAAATGAAGTGATTTCATCACTAAGATAACTACCTTTCAAAGAGAGATCAAGAGAGTCTTACACCCTGAAATGACAGGAAGGCAGCTACCATCACGGTTGCATATGAAAGTCTAAATTCCCTCAGAACACAGGAGAAAAATAGAAAAGAATCAAATACTATCAGTTCAGCAAAACATCAAATGACAAAGATGAATAAGAGAGGAAGAAAAGAAACAACACAAAACCACTAGAAGAAAAGCGGCAAAATGGCAGGCGCAAGCCCACACCTTCATCAAGAACTCTGAATGTAAACAGTCTTAATGTGTTAATTAAAAAGACAGATTGGCTGAATGGATTGAAAATCGAGATCCAACAGCACACTGCCTACAAGAAATTCACAGCATCAGAAAGATACACAGGCAGAGAGCATGAAAGGAAGAAATGAAAGTTTTTAGGGCAAATGGAACTTAAAAACACGCAGAAGTGCCTATGCCTATTTCTGACAAAATAGAATTAATATGAGCAGAAAGAAGAGACAAAATGTAACTGCATAATGACAAAGGGGTCAATTCATCAAGAAGACAAGGTTGGTAACCTATATGTACCCAATGGTGGTTGTCCAACTTCACAAAGCAAGCTTCATTTGACCCAAAGTGAGACAGAACCTGACAAAATGATACTGTGCCATGCAACAGACGTCCCCAGCAGTGGGTGGAGAAAGCAAAAGTCAACAGATGCCTGAGCTAACAGCACAGCAGAGTAAAGGATGTGTGTGCTGGCGGACGCCTACAGGGCACAGGGCGTTCCAACAGCTGCCCAGACACATTCTTTCCTTCGGCACATAGAACTTTCTCTGGAACAGACCAGGTCAGAGCTACAAAACAAGTCTCCACAAATTACCAACTGGTGTGGGAAGTCCTTCTCTCTATGTGTTGCTTTTATTGGTTAATGAATAAAGAAACTGCCTTGGCCCTGTAATGGAATGCTTCTGGGGCACATGCAGGAGCCTAGGCTCAACCCTTGATTACACCAAAAGAGAGACAGAGAGAGAGAGAGAGAGAGAGAGAGAGAGAGAGAGAGAGAGAGAGAGAAGAAGGAGAAATTAAGATCTGTCTGCATAGTTAGGAGAGTCCATGGCTCAAAGACCTGCTCTACAATATTTTTTTTTATTTTTCCATGAGAGTAGGGACTCAAAAACAGCATTCAAAACGACAGGGAGAAATGAGGTTTATCTGTAACATCTGTCTACATCTGGTCTCCAGACTCCATGAGTCAGCCCCTGACACCCAAGTTCCCTCGTTGGTCACCAGCCATTGTTCAGGATTCTCTGCCAGTTTACCTTGTTGACATAAACTCACAGCCATGACCCTGTTTCCATGGGTGGTTTTATTTCTTTAAATCCTTTGCCTTCAGTCGGGTTAAACATTGGCCCGTGTTTTCTCCATCGCTGAAGTTCCCACAGCTGGACTTCTCCGTCTCAGTGTCCCAGCTCCCACCTGTATTTCCTGTGGGTTCCGTTTGTACTTCCTCTTCCTGGTTCCCTGAGGTATGAGTTTGGATGACCAGTCTGGGCTCTTCCTTCGTGACTCTGAGTTTCCCACTTGTGCTGCTTTGGCCACATCCCAGCTTGGGTTTGTTGTGTTTTTGTTTTCGTCCACCTCTCGTACCTTCCAGCTTCTCTCCTGACTCCTTCGCTGTTTAAGTCTGTGTTCTGTTTCTACAGATGGATGAACTCTCCAGTTCTGTTTTGATTTCTAGTTCTTCCGTCCTGGTCAGAGATGGTGCCTCACATGATTTCAGCTATTTCAAGTTTTATTGAGACTTTGTTTGGCCCGAGGCGTGAGCTGACCTGCAGGACAGGGAGAAGCCACTGCTGCTTGGTGTGTTCTGTGTGGGTGTGCACCTCGCTCTCTGAGCCCTCTGTGCCTTGACTCGTCTTCTACCTGCCTCTTCTTTTATTTCTTCTTTTAAAAGTACTAACTAACAATGGCCTGCTGGCATTGCCAGCTGTCATCTGTGTACCAGAGCTGTTGAGTTCTTTCCCGTTCAGCTTCATCTATCTTGAGTTCTATAGGGTGACAACCATGTGTTTTTATAGATTGATCTCTATTGGTGTTTCATGTCTCTCACTGTCTCCTTACCAATTCTGACTCTCCGGCATGTGCAGTCTGCTTGCTGCTCAAATCTCTGTGGTTACCGATTCCAGGGGTCTCCTCCCCCATTCCTCTCATTTTCATCTGTCTGTGTCTTGGGCCTGTATGAACTGGCCTGGGCCAGGGGATGTGACCTGAGATGGTCACTAATTAAAACTCATCTGAACGAAGAGCCCAGGGCCGATGGCTTCAGAGATGAGTGACCATAAACTTAGAAAAGAATTACAACCTCTTCCACCACTGCTCCCGACCCACAAAACACAATCAAACAGACCCCAGCCGCAGAGGAAAGGCTTGTGTGACACAGCTGAGTGTCAGAAACGCAAAGCCGACTCAGCCGAGAAACCAAACAGATCAGGACATTTCAGAGGACTGAGGGACTGCACAGCCATCTCAATGATGCAAAAAGATGCTTAGGGAAAGCCAACACCCTTTCATGGTCAAGAACAAACCTAACAGAACTCCCTCACTGCAAGGCAGGACACCTACGAAGCCCCATCCCTGGCCCTTTCTAAGGCAGGGAGGAGGCGAAAGTGTCCATTCCCACATCTACTCCATACTGCACTGGAGGTAATAAAAGAAGTCATCTGGCAAGAAAAATCACAATGACCAACAGAAAGGCCTTTGGGGTCAAAATGGTGCTGCTGGTGCAATGACGGGTGTGGAGGTCAGCAGACTACACCAAACCACCTGCTTCCTCACAAGGGCGCCAGGACTCACAGCGAGCCAAGAATGCTCTCTTTCACAGGTCATCCTGGGATGGTCAAGGGGTCACACACTAAGATGACATTACACTCTCAAAGACAAACTCAAAATGGATCAAAAGAGAAAAGCATAATGACCAATCTACTGACCAAAGACTCAACTGTGGTGTTCAGACACATCACAAAAGCACAGGGAACACAAGAGAAAAGAAATTAAACTACCAAAAATAAGAAGTCATTGGGAGCTGGGCGAGTGATGCCTGCCTTTAATCACAGCACTTGGAAGGCAGAGATAGATGGATCTCTTTGAGTTTGAGGCCTGCCTGGTCTACAAAGCAAATTCCAGGAAAGTCAGGACTCTGTTACCCAGAGAAACCTTGTCTGGAGGGAAAAAAACAACAACAACAACAACCAAAAAACAGCATTGGGCATCAATGGACATTATTGGAGAATTCAATGACAACCCTCAGAACACAGACAGTCCAGGAACCTGCTACCCAGAATCCATCAAGAACTCCATAGCCGGGCAGTGGTAGTGCACACCTTTAATTCCAGCACTCAGGAGGCAGAGGCAGGTGGATCTCTGTGAGTTCAAGGCCAGCCTGGTCTATAAGAGCTAGTTCCAGGACAAGTTCCAAAGCTACAGAGAAACCCTGTCTCGAAAAAAAAACAAAACCAAAATAAACAAAAAAAAAACAAAAACAAAAAACCTCCATGACAGGAGAGACAACCCAATCTACAACAAAAGAACCACACAAATTAATTTTTTAAAAATGGCATTGCATAGGACTTCAGAAGCCACTTCCCTAAAGAAGGCATACATATAGAGATGGAGTGAGTACAGGGAGTCCGGGCCAGGTCATTAGAACCAACCTGGAAAATATGGCGGAAGCCAGTGCATACCATGGGTCAACTGTCACCAAACACACAGGAGCTGCAAAGGCTTCGGACAATGACTGCTTTGCAGACCCTAGGGGGATACAGAATGGAAACGGTCCCCATAGGCCCGCCAAGACTAAACACAGAATCACATACTGAGCTTTTTGGCCTTAGGTCTCTGCCAAGGAGTCCGTGAGAGGTTCAAACATGAACACAGGGATATTCACGGCGGAGCTGCTCACAGAGCACAACGGTCAAAACAGGCCGTGTGTTCATCCACCAACAAGAGAGAAGTGAAGTGTGGTGTAGCCACACGAGAGAATATTGTTCAGCCATGAAGAAACAATGGTCTCCTGGCATAGCTGTGACTGGATAGATATGGAAATGTGATGTTTGGCGGCTCCAGGGAGACACCAGCCAGGACACCTCCATGGGCTCCTTGAGGTCAGGTTTTGAGCCTAATGGCTCTGATTTATTTTATGTATTTATTTTTGGTGTTTTCAGACAGGGTTCCTTTGTGTAGCCCTGGCTGTCCTGGAACTCACTCTGCAGACCAGATGGGCCTCAGACTCACAGAGATCCTCCCTCCTGCCTCTGCTGCCCAGTGATGGCTCTGATTTTCACAAATGTGTTTCTAGCCCTGCCCTCTGCTGTTGCTGTCTTTAGCTGCCTGACTAAGGGACGGTATCTGATCTCTGACCTTTAGAGAGAGGCTGAGGGTGAGGCTGGGGAGTGGAGTGGAGTAAGGTTTGAAAGTCCTTCAAAACTAGGTGAAGAAGCTGGAGAGATGGCTCAGGTTAAGAGCACTGACTGCTCTTCCAGAGGACCTGGGTTTAATTCCAGCATCCACATGGCAGCTCACAACTGTCTGTAACTCCAATTCCAGTAGATCTAACACCTTCATACATGCAAGTAATATATCAATATATTAAAAAAAACAACAACAACAAGAAAAAAGGAAAAAGCCCACCTAGGTTTAAGAGGAGGCTGGGAGACCTCAGGTGGAGAACAGGTGAAACTGTGGATCACTGGCAGAGATCTAGAGGGCTCAGGGAGCCATCGCTATCATACACATCTCTGGGCCTGAATGCTGATAAGCCCTGTCATACGTGAAGCTGTGTGTAGAAGTTCATGGGATGGGACAGAGCTTGTGTGAGAGGTTGCACCAGGTATATGAGCCAGAAAGCCCACACTATGTGGCATAGAAGCCCCACTCTGCACAGCCAGGCCCTTGAACTGCTGAGCTCTGTCCCTGTGTTACTGTATATGCTTTCTGGGGCATGAGGACCTGTGAGTGCCCACTGAGCTTAGGCATCTGACGATATGGAGGGCTCTGAGATGCAGAGGCCGTGGATGGAATGTTCTGGCCACAGTGCTGGTCTCAGATGCAGGAAAGACAACTCTGTGATGGGGCCATCACCTCTCTCCCAGCCACAGGCAGGCCGGATCACCCTCCAAGGACAGGGCTGGAAGATGTGGTAGTCTTGGTGCTCAGTGCCATCACCCAGCACCCTGGAGGGTGGCCACAGGTACAGGACAAAGGGCAGCCCAGGAAGGCCACGCTTTTCCTCCAGGTGTGGCCTATTCTTAGGGGAACCAATCCAACAGGAGATTATGACTGAGCACCCTCCAGACTGAACAACAAGGAAGGGGAAGGGTGTAGAGCTTCCTGCAGCAAAACACACCTGGGGGATAAAAGCCCAGAGCCCAGAGCACCTCACACACACTCACCACACACACACACACACACATACTCACTCAACACACTCATACACTCCCAACTCCCAGTCAGTCTCACCATGGCCGCCTCCACCATGTCCGTCTGCTCTGACGCTTGCACCAACTCCTCCTGGCAGGTGGACGACTGCCCAGAGAGCTGCTGTGAGCCCAGCTGCTGTGCCCCCAGTTGCTGCCAGTCCAGCTGCTGTGCCCCCACCTGTTGCCAGTCCAGCTGCTGTGCCCCCAGCTGCTGTGTCCCCAGCTGCTGTGTCCCCAGCTGCTGTGTCCCCAGCTGCTGTATCCCCAGCTGCTGCCAGACCAGCTGCTGTGTCCCCAGCTGCTGCCAGACCAGCTGCTGTGTCCCCAGCTGCTGTGTCCCAGCCCCCTGCCTGACCCTCATCTGCACCCCAGTGAGCTGTGGATCCAGCCCCTGCTGTCAATCTGCCTGCAGCAGCTGTTGTACTCCCTCATGCTGCACCTGTTCCCCTTGCCAACAGTCCTGCTGTGTGCCTGTCTGCTGCAAGCCTGTCTGCTGCACACCCAT